TCACACACTGAGGATTTCTTCCTCCCCCCCCCCCCCCAAGTCTGTTTTAGTTCTCACCTTACTTTGGCAATGATCTTCCCAGCCTCTTGCTGTTATAGTTAGTTCTTGCTTCAAGGCTTCTCGTATGGTGATTTGTAGGAGACACATCTATAATTTCATGCTTCACATGGAAGTTTTAGCAGCCATTGAGGTCGGTAGTCCAAAAATAAGACTTAACTGCTTCCTTTAAAATCATGTAGTTTCTCTTCATGATATTAGGTATTAACTAAAAAAAGCCTCATCTCTGAACATGTAGTAATTTCAAATAAAAGTCATTAACTTCAAAAGTAAACAAGGTCAATAGATAAAAATGTACAAATACTACATTAGTTGATTTAGTTATATAGAGAATCATGCAAGAAGAGCTTTTGTTCAGTGAAACTTTTGTTTAACTTGTTATAACATCTTCTCCAGAAGTAGTTAAGTAGTATGGAAAGAAATCACGAAAGTTTAAATCTATCCTGATGTACAGTATTGTGTTGGAAATGCAAGTTAGATATATTGTGGGGAAACAAAAAATAATACTGAAAACATTATAGGTGAGCATCTATTTTTGTGCAAGCTCTACGATAGCTAATGCAGTACTTGAGGTTTTACCTTAAAAATGAAAGGTGAATGCTTGCACATGTATGGGTTTTTACATTAATGAAATACATTAGACAGTGGTACCAATAATTCTGGAAACTTACTAAAGCATTCTTTACAAGTAAGCTGGCTAATACAGTGGATAGTCTGATTGGTGAAAGAGCATGATTAAAAATAATAGCTTTCTAGGAGGTTATTTCAAGATCACCTTGTAGTGAATGTGCGAGCACTCAAACTATCTGAGAATGTTATGGATGCTAGAACTACTGAATGTTATCACTGAAAAAAATGGCTGCCAAATTATTCAAAAAAGGTGAAAAAATTTAAGTGTGTTAAACTAGCAAGGTAGCATGATTAAGATACGCAAAATCAATTAATTTTGTATATATTTTCCTAGCACATGTATTTGGAATCAACAAAAGCAGAAGCTGGTGAAGTAAGTCTTTAAGATAATACCTTGAACAACATTTTGAGCTAATAAAATTCCACAGGTTACACAAAAAAATGTGTTTTCTTCAGACTGTCACTGTTAACATCATCTAAATGCAGGATCAGCTCTAAACTGCGTATCATCCCGAATTCAAGGGGACAGAAATAATCCAGTAGGATGAGTATGCAGTTATTTTACTTCAGGTTTCCACTGATGTGGAACACTAGTTTGTATGCCCAGCCAATCACCCATCTGCTCAGGGGGGGATAGCAGCAGCTCAGGACCTACACGCTCTGGCAAAATCGTACCTACTTGTTCTGTGCCTAGCAATCAATGTTGTTAAGCATAAAACTTGGGGTTTAAGTAGTAATGCAAGTAAGTAGATACTGTCCCAAAATCAGAACATAAATTTTCAAGAGATCTTCGTTAGCAGGATGAATAATGTTCATACTTGCAAGCCATGATAGACGAGGATTTGTTTGAAAACACAATGTAGATCACGATTTATGTTGAGATATTAAAAGTCTTTGTCAGCAAATATATTTGCGGTGGTATATCAGGCCATGGTGGTCATATTGTCAAAGTAACTTAGTTTAGTAATTGTCTTATTCTTCTTGTTAAAAGTGGAGGCTGAGAATTTGTATTAAAAACATTTGAATTAAAATTTTTTGGACAGTTTCCAACTGGAGAAGTATCGTTTGTGTAGCTTTAGTTTATCCTTTTGTTTTGCAGTCCTTAATTCTCTCTCTTGTTAAAGCATGGGCATGTGTAACTGCCGTAGTTGAGAAGACCCTGATGCTAGAAGTTACTGCCTTGCTCCTGGGCTGTGTAATGGGTGATGTGTAGGCAGTTCAGCGAAGGATCAGATGGATTGGCTTTTTGTTTCCACTGTTGTTCGTATTGACAAGTGAAATTAAATCTGGTAAAGATGTTTTTCAATGGACTTACCCAAGAATTGATGCCTTGTGTTGCCAAAGCAATTGAGTATTAAAATTAAAATGTATTTAGTGTTTTGATTGCATTTTTTTTGTTTTGGAAAATAAGGCAGTAAGAACAGGCTGTGACATAATATACAAACTAGTCAGTCAATTAACTTTATTAATTCATATGAAAGTATAAATAAGTTGTCTGTAAGATTTAGATACTTTGCCTAATTTCACTAATAAGTCTGCACTATACCAGAATGTCTTCCTTTAGTCAATTTTTTTATATGCTAATTACTAAGCAGCTTCTTAATAATTTATCACTATTGGTGTATAAACTGCAAAACCACATTTTCCTTTTGTGCATCTCAAGAATATTAATACAATAATAGCTCAATTATTGTGGAAAAAGTCACTAAATGCAGCTTCTCTTCTTCAGTTGATCACAACAGGGGTCTGGAGCATAAAGCATTGGGAGAAGCTCCTGTGGTAGTTGAGCGAGACCTGACGTTGTTGTGAGGATCATTTGTCTGCAGGAGGGCTGGAAATTGTTCAGGAGAGGGGAGAGAAGCAGGTGACAGCAGGACGTGCAGGGTACAGCCGAAGGGATGCGTCTCTGGGTTCTTTTCCAGCTCCTCTTGTCCCACTGTCCTCTGAAATATTTGTCCTTCCAGTGATTCAAACAGGTTTTTCTCATATTAAAAGTTTCAAGTTCTTTGAAAGGAACAAAAGAGCCATATTTACTTCTCTTGATTTCTTTTTTTTTAATTGCAATTCAGAGATTTTTTTTTTAACTCTTACAAGTCTCTTGTTTCTGAATTTCATTATTTAATGGCTGTGATTAATTCTTAGTCTTCAAAACTTAGTCCTTAGTACTAGGACTTACTTAGTCTTTAGTCCTTTTCTAGCCAGAAAAGTGGTGTCAAAAGAATGTGTATTAGCTACAGTTGTATATATCATAATAAAGAGACATCAGTCAAGGAGGAGAACACAAACTTCAGCACCTCCTTCACCCACTCCAGCAGATAACCTCCAGGAGAACTGAGCTTTGTTCAAGGTCTTTTATTGGTGCTTTGTGCAGTGTGACTGTATTCTTGTTGGTAAAATGTGATTTAACTCGATCAAAAAAAAAAAATCATCTGCCAAGTGTTTTGGTTTTTTAAAGGTAAATCCCATTCCTACCAGGTCAGAAACTAAGAAGTTGCAGTGACTTAGCTAAACCTTTCCCTTGTAGCAGCTTTCCAAAAACTATACAGTGCAAATAACCCACTGAAGTTTATCAGGTTTGCTGAATCCTTTAACTTTTCCTCAGCTTTCACTTTGAAATCACAGGCGTGACAGAAATATTAAACTTCTGTGATTTTCCTGGCAAGAGGGAAGTTCCTGTCAATTACAAGAAGGTGCAAGGTAGCTACTGCCAAAATTAATGACTTTGAAAATCACAGATAAGTTACAGAAAGAGCCTCGAGCTGAATTGTCAGGCTTAGAAACGAAGAAATATGACTATAAGGTGCCATGGCTCTTGTTAAATAAGCATCTTATCAATGAGAGTCTTACCTGTTCAAAAGATATAAGTAGGCAATTTTAATAGCAAATTTCATCTAGGCATTTGACATCTTGCTTAAAATGCTGCATTAGATTGAATGAACAGGGAACACATTAGTTGAATTAAAAATTCTTTCACTGAGAGATCTCAAAGTATGTCACCCTTAAAATGTATCAATGAGTGGGGTTGTATGTACTTTCCCAAGGAATAGTTGTTTGTGTAAAGATATGTAGTGCCTTTTTTTAATAGTCTAGACGATGATACAGAGTTTTTGCAGGTGAAATTTAAAATCCTGAGACTGACCATCAGAGTGCCGGAATCATCCAAACGTGGGGGGATGCTGCCAAGTTCCAGGCGAGGTGCAGGAGCAGAGAATTATGTTTATACGTAACCACCAGAAGGTTATAATGAAATCTAGAAAAGTTTCAAGGTTCCTATATATGTGTGTGTGTGTGTGTGTATATATATATATTTAAAGCTCAGTACAAAATTGGATTTGCTTTATGTAGAAACTTAGGCACAGAGAAGAGGGATGTTAGGAATTCTTTAATTTTGCATCCAAAGCCATAAGAACAACTCGAAACTGGATGCTGAATCAGAACAGTTCTGTCTTTAACGTGCTGCAGCGTAGGCCATTAAACATCCAAAACCTGCTGTGAGATACTGGAATCACAGGACTGCTCTCTGGGATCATCTTGGCATTGCCTGGACTTTTTCTGCTGCAACAGGGAGCAAGGACATGAGTTCTCCAAAGCCCTGGCTGAGGCGTGCTATAGGTTTGGAGACCTCAATACTACACAGGGGTTTTTTGATAGTTACAGCATTGTGAAATGTTGCTCTCACGGTATGGGAAGCACATCTCCTACGGACTTGTCTGGGTAGGTTGCATGGTTTACCATTACTAGGAGGACTTGGAAGTGTCATCAGGGTGACATCATAAGCTGCCTCATCAGGGTCATGTGGTTGTTAGTGTCTGTCAAAAGCTAGCCACTTGTTTTTGATAAAATAGTGTGAGGATATCCAGTCTAGCGATCAAAACCTAACACTTTTTTCCTGTTTCTGTCCTGTTTAACCTGTGGAAAGCCCTGATCCTTTAATGTACATCAGGTGAATGACTCCCAGGCACTTGTGTGTGAAGTTGAGCTCTGCCCAGTTGAATGTTTCTCATTCAGTTGGTGGGAGTTTGGCTGCAGGGATTGGTTCATCTGCATGGATTGAATTGGAGAGCTGTTGCCTTTGCTTAACCAGCGATGGTCTGGGTTTTCCAGTTTAATACAGTTGCTTAATGCACCACCTCAAACGCCTTCAGCTGGGTCCTTGACTGCAGTCTCAGCAGTCTCTTTCCATTCCCTGGACACCAATAAGTGTTTCTGGGAGAAGAAATACGACAAGATTTCAATGGGTTTGATGCAAAATTCATTTAAAGGGATCTTTAAGTGAATACTAAAATATATATTTTGGCTTTTTGTCTCTGCAGAGTTTACAGATGCTTCCTCAACAACGGAAAGCCATAGCGAAATTTAAGGAGCCAGCACATGCTTTAGCATTTCAACAGAAATTCCACAGGTAAATAATTAAGCGCTGCTGCCACCTCGGTTCCTTCCCTCCCTTCAAAAGATTAAATCAGTCTCCTCTGCTCAGTGTTTCTCTTAAGCCAATCAAGCATCTGTTTATTAGTGACCTTCATAGAACCTCTTTGTCTGTTTTCCACCCCTAGAATCACTTTGAGTACCAGGTTTAAATTTCTTTTAACTTTTAACAGGCACATGATAGATCTGTCCCACATAAACGTGGCACTGATAGTTGAGTGATGTCTGCTGAGAGAAACCCTGACACTAACAGAAGCGTACTGTGGAGCTACACAAGACACAGTGGCAAAACCATCGGGTCGTGAAACCTTTCAGCTTAGTCTTTAATTGCTATGTTGAACTACAGAAAGCAGCAAGATGTCCTCCGGAAGAGCTGAACTTGAGAGGCTCTGCAAAGGTGGAATTTCTGTTCGGTTTGTTCACGTTCTGTTGTAACCACGTGGAACTACAGATTTTTTTTTTTTCAAAATGCTTTCAATGCACGTAGACACTGTTCTTCAAGATCCTACTGTGTGACCACAGTGACTTGAGGGAGAACGTTTACATTGAAAGATTTAAAAACTTTCTTCATAGCAAAGAATATTTGATAATGGTTGCTCTTATCTTCAGTGCGAGGTATTTGAATGAAAACTCACTTTTCTAAACAAAACACATTAGTTATGTTGTATATCTGAAAGCACAGAAGGTATTCTTGCATAGATTTAAACGTGGTCTACTTCACTGAATAGCGGTATGCTGAGAAGCTTTGGAGGTGACACTGGAAAATTGTAGTTTTGATCTTTGTAAATATGTTAAGTCTGACTTTGCGTTTTTCTATTCCGACACAGACTTCCATCTTCTCCTTCCAACTCCACTTATTCCATAAAACCCTGTGTAGGAATAACATTGCTGTATTTTCCCTTGGTTTTTAAAAACAGGGATCTTTGCCCTTCAGTAGCATCATGGGGTAGTGAACTCCAAGTTGTAACTAGGTTGTTTTAAATGACGTTGCCAGATACAAGGAAAAAGAAATATTTAGTGGCTCACTTCGAAAATGTTACACAGGAAGAGTGACGCATTCCTAATAGTTCTTTTGGGCTAGCGTTTCATGATTGCCTTATGCTTTATTTTGATTAGTTTTTTTCTTTGAGATTTATTTTGTGATTAATGCTGAACCATAAGAAACCCATAACTGAAAGGACTTGGTTTGATGTGTTGTTCCCAATAAATACAGGTCTATTAGGACATTGTGAATCTGCTGGTGAACGTGGCAGTTCCCAAAAATTACGTGCAAACATTAAGGAGCTTATATGTTATTCAAAGTAAAATCCATAATGTTTCCTTTTGGTTAGAACCATCTAGATGGTGTTGCCAAAGGAACAATTTTTTCAATTACTTCTGAATAAACTTATTAAAATGTCATCTTTATATTGGATTCCAGTTTTTATGAACACTTCCTCAGTTTTTAGACTGTGAGCTTTTGCTTCATCCTTTATTTTAGGAGTACTCTTAAGCACTCCACCTACAATTTGAATGGGTGGACTTACAGATACCTTATAGGTTTGTTACCTGAGTGACCGCAGAAGAACACTATTGGTATGTAATGCAACAGCTGCGAATGGGGTCCAAAATAGGCATGCCAAGCGTGGAAGGATGAACTAAGCAAGTTTATAGTAGTGTAGATTTTTTTTTTTTTTAAGATTTGCTGGTAACCAAGTCAAAGACTTAACTGGCTTTCTTACAGTTTTGGTCCAGATTTTCAATTAAGTAGAAGTTACCAAAAATAATGGTTGAATAATAAATACTGTCAAAAGCCTTCTAGATAGAACAGCTCTTTGTTCAATGAAATAATAGAGAATAATGTGGTACTTTGGAAATATTGCACTGGGAAAAAATGTAAAGAATACTCTAAGCCCATTTACAACTTAGTGACGAGACTCAGTAACATCATGAGAATTTTTGCATGGAAGCGAGTTTTACACCCGTCTGTGTAGTTCCCCATTTATGCATAATACTTAATAATATCCAGCACAATTACTATATGTAAAGTGCTATTAGTGCTTCAGGGTAAGACCCAAGCGCAGGACAGAGGATGAGCCGCAGGTAGGAAGTGCCCAGTGGGAGCCGACCCTGAAGACTCTTGTGAGCTGATCGCAGTGACTGGCTCTGCCACGTGCTGTTTAACTCCTCACACCGTGAGCAGTAGGACCCCTACGCTGCCTCCTCAGGTTGTGTAATTTTTGTTTTTAAGAAATAAGTGCTTACCTTTAACACAAGTCATTAAACAGTTATTCATCCCACTGTTAGGGAGCAGCTTCTCCGCAATGAGAAGGATGGGAAGGCATCTCGGAGTGGAGCGATAATAGTGCGTGTCTGGAAATCTGGGTTAGATGCAAATGCCAGACAGACCAGCAGCTGAGTTCAGCAGTAGGAACATCTGCAGTTGATCAGCTGTCCTGTCAGAAGCAAACGTTATTGGGGTTAGAGGGTTTCTTGGAGCCTAAGAATATGGGTTTGATTCAAAAGTCAAAGAAGTTTGTAGAAACGCTCCTGCTTTGGGTTTTGAATCCATCCCAAAGAGGCTGAGGTTCAGCCAACTTAAGTTTTAACAATTTTTATTCAGTTGGGTTTTTTTAAAAAAAATTTTTTGAGACAAACGTGTGGCTTTGGAATAAAGACATGAAATCGCCTCAGATCTGTTTAAATGTAGGAGGCAATGTAAGCAATGCCTGTTTAATGACTAGATGCATCCTCTTTAACGGCGGTTGCAGTAGATTATTGCTTGTGCATAGACAGAGTACGGGCGGATCGCTGGTGGTGATTTTAGCTGCTTATTGCAGTACCTGGGTATCTGACTATATGTAAACTTACTATATGTATGTATGTCTATATGCATTTTATTATACACATACATACATACTCACACCCTTTGTTGTCACCGTATCTCTCTAATATCTTAAACTCAGTAGCAAAAGTAGCAATTAGGTGAGCCATTTGTTAAAATGTTTGTTTTGTTAGTTCTCAAATCCTAACTTAAAAGTGGATCTCTTGGCAATGATCAGTTTGGATGATACAGCTCTTCTAGATCCATTTGTTGTCTCCTCCCAAAAAAACCCAAAGGAAGTAGAGGTAAAGCTAGGCAGACGTGTTCTTGCCATGTTCTCTTTCAGCACATAGTTAAATCTGAGCATCTTAAGTTAACTTTCTTGGAAGATCTGTTGCAACCATTATCTTGTTCTTTCTTTATATCATGCATTCAAAATACGATGCAAAATGCAAAAAAAAAAAAGGCATTTAATGTAATATGTAAATATTGACCTTTTAAAATTAAAATGTTACTCAAAATGCTTACAGTCAACCACATCTTAGCTACTTGTTAGTTTTTTGTGTTGTCTTATCTAAGTTTAATGGATACAGTTCCATAAATGTTGATGTGTTTTTGTGTATATCTTCAAATTTTTATAAAGATGCTAGTAAGTCAATACATATATCCTGATCTGTGTATTATTTGTTCACAGTTTTTATTAGCATAATTTTATAATGATTTTAATAGGCAACTCCAGTAGGTGATTATATGGAGCCAACTTTTTTTTCCCAAATTATTTTGTTTTCATCTTGTAGCACTGGAGAATTCACTTTATAACTAATCATATTTTGCCTTGACTAAAAGATTGGATTGGCCATATGATCTGTGGTATTTTAGTAGAATGTTCTACTTTTTTTTTATTAAAAAAAAAAAAATCTCTGTCCTTTAACTTTTGAGGGGAAATACAGTGCACTGTCAGACCAAGGCATGGGGTTTCTAGGTTTGTTCCATTGTGCTGTACCAGTACAAATTAGGTCTGTCGTGTAATATTGTTCTCAAAAGTTTGGGATATTTTGGTTTTACACATAACTCAAGTTGGTCATGTAACACGTTGGTTCATCACAATGTTAGCAACTGATGTGGCACATATACTGTATGATGCAACGATGTGCAGTGTTCAAAAAGCTCGGTATAATTGGTGCTAGGCAGGAGGAGGACAGGTCCGTAGCATCTTCATAGCTGGAGGAGCTGCCATGCAAATGTTTATCTCTAAGTAGTGGTAGAGAATAAATTTAGACAGGGATATTGTTCTTGGCCTACATACATCTCCAGTATGACTTTGGGAAAGAAGAGTAAATACTGGCACCCCCTCTGTAAAGTATCTTCAGATACCTAGTGTATTCCCCAGTTTAAATCTGAAAATTCACTTCAGATTTCCAAATTTCCGTAAAAAAAAGAAGTCCTTCTAGCCATTAAAATGCCAAGCAGACTGAGCATTTTAGTTCTTTGATGTTAGGTTTCCACTGCAAGGATATAGATGAGAGATTTTTTTTTAAAAAAAAGTGTAGATTATTTCAGAAAAACCTTGAGGGTCTTCATCGTTTTTTCTTAACATTATCTAGCTACTTGGAATAAGAAAAAAACTTCTACTTCATGCTGAATTTTTTATATTTTTTCAAACATAGTATCTTTTATCTGTTTAGCTTGAAATTGTGCAATATTCCTGGAAGCTGCTGTAGGCGCTTCCTACCGTTACACACAGTAACTGCGTGTCTGTATGTGTGTGTGGGTGCGTTGCCCTTCTAGCTGGGGTGAGAGGGTGGGCGGAGGGTGTGGGGTTTCATTTCTTGGGGTGTTGTTTTTTTTTTTTGCCTGTTTTTTGTCTAACTCGGGAGATATCCTGGATTTGTTCTCTGGCGTAGTATTGTGTTCCTGTCCTTCACGTAGTGTTTGTTACGTGAGTCATGATACTCGAAGGTAGAAATCTGGCTTCACCTGTTCACTGTCAAAAAGGCATTTTTGTTCAGAGAGACACGAACCTTTTTTTTTTATTATTATTTTTTGTGCTTTTATTTTTTTTAGCAGCATGTTGGATGAGAAATTAAACGTGAAGGAAACAAATACTGAACAGATTGCAGAAAGTTAGCTATATTATAAAGGTCATTTAGGGTAACATAGGGCTTTTGTTTCAATGTTACCTTAAATCATGCCTTAACCTCCAATTAATTCATAAACGTAATACTTGAAAGTATTTTATCTTCAATTAGTATCAAATCCTAAGGATTTTATGTAAGGTTTTTTTGTAACCTGATTTTTAATCTTGGAAAAGACTTATTATCCACATGAGCACAGGGTCTTGTGTACAAAAACACTGATTCATATTGGATCCTTACGTATACCATCTTCTGGTATAATATGGTTGGGAAGGATCATTTTGTTCTTTATAACGCTGCTTTTTGCAGGGTTGGGGTTTTTTTATTAAAAAAAAAAAAAACCACACACACCTCCGTTTTCTACTTCTGTGCTTATTTTGGTGGAAAGTATGGTCCTTACTGCACTAAAGAAAACCTCAAGGGGGAAGTTAATCTCACTGGGTCTTTTAGGTGCCTGTGTTGCTTTCTCATTTCTTGGTTGGATGCGCTGATTTTTCTAACTAACTGGAAATGGGCTTTATAGGGGCTTTATATAGACACTGTTTTTCAACAGGTTACACTGCTTTTATTTAATGTAACAGCACTCGGGTTAAGCAATTTTTACCATCTAAATAATTTTAAATGGTATTGCAGATTAAGAATATTTTTGTGAAGGAACCTGTGTACAGTTAAACGTAGCTGTATTGCAATGTTGGGTGTAGTCACTTGGAAGATCACAATGTAAAACTGCTGTATTAATGTTATGTTCATTCAGTGGTTCAGGATTTTCTTTGTATGCATCTAATGGTTTTTAATATGCACTGTATTTTTTTCCTAGTGTCTGTCAGGCTGACTTTGGAACCTTACAGTTTTATTTCTCTTTATATAATAACAAAACCATTTTTTGCAGGATTTCTTTTTCAGATGGGGAAACATCTTTCAACAGTTTAACTTCTAATTAGTACACATTTTCACTTACAGATACAGCAAAACCAAGGTGCTAACTCTCATTTATTCACAGCTTATCTTCCGTACCATTGCATACAATTTTTATTGATAGAAAGTGCCCTTAGAATAAGTCAACTTCCTTTTTTCCTGTGGTACCCTTTGCCTCTGCCCTAGGCTTTACCTCATTTCCATCTCATTTGCCCCCATTTTTCTATTCCCACAAGGATATTTGTATCCTTGTTATGTTCCTGCTCTTTTCACTCTCTCTTCATCTCTCCGGACTTCTTCCTGTCTGAGTGCATTGCATTCAGTCTTTTGCTCTACTTTCTGTTCTTATAGCTCTTTTGAGGATACCTGAACCCTAGATCTCCCACCCTGAAAGCACGTCGTACTGTACTTTTCTTTGCAGACTTTGGTACGTAAAGTTGAGGTTGCTTTTACAGGTATCACACCTTAGGAGATGCTGCCCATCCCAAGGCACTGGAGAAGCATCACTTAACAGTTTTGCTTTGCAGTTTTACCCATGTTGGAGAATTAAAACATTTTGTTTACATGCTCTAGCATTTGTGGCAAGCCAGGCGAAACGGGATTAACAACTCCTTTATCCTTTTCACTTTTTCAGGAGTTCTGTTCTTGAATTCAGTGATAGTAATAGCATTTTTTTTTTTATTGCCACGTAGAAATACGAACACTGTCGACACGATTCTACCTCCTATTACTATTACTGAATGTGATCCTTCCTAACCTGTAAAGTCTTAAACACTGTATATATTTGGGTGTTTTGAGCATCACTTCAAATGTATTGCTCTAATCTGGATTACAGAGTTTGTTTATTAGCAGTTCAGGATATAAATTCAACAGCCGACTGTATCATACTGACTCCACTGGGAGTTCGTCTGCCTCATGTTTTCTACAGCATCATCTACACAAGGTGTTTGCTACTAGTTTCTTTAATGTAAAACTGAACGATACCAAATCCTCCACTTGCATAAGAGATCTTTGTCGTACCTATTTAAGTGAATGTAAAAATGGAAACACAAAGATGATCTCATGTACAAGGTTTTTTTACATGTAATTCCATGTTTAAAAATGTCAACGTGTAAATATATTTATTGTACCTAAAATATGTCAATAAAACTTGATCTTCATCATGCTTCCTCTGTTGTTGCTTGATGTGCAACTTGAACATCAAACTTGTCAGAAAAAGCTTCACATACCATATTATTTTACCATTTTTATTACGGTAGCATCTCTAGGCCCTTACTTTTACCTCAGCATCGTAGCATGGGGCTCTTTCTGAGCTGTGCAAAGGTGCCCCAGATGGAAAAAGAAGTGACTGAGGATAGGTGATGGTAAAAGGGGCTTGTGCTTGTGTGGCTGGTTCAAAGGGTCTGGAGGCTAACAAGGATCTCCTAACATAGATACAGGAGGAAAACTTGTGAGTGTAAAAGCTTTTCTGCTTCTTTTCAGCCGTACTGACATGTCTAATAAAAGATCTCTACTTTCAAATATTGCCGATCTTTAATTTATGGCATAAAGGGGAGCTCTCAGCAAGCTCAGTATGGTCACCATCAATTATATTCTGAACACAATTATATCAACATAAACAAAGGCTAATTCCACTGGCATATTATGTATCAAGAAAAAAGGTCAGAATCGGCTGCCTTGCACTTCGTAGGGTTTTTTAATAGTTTGTTAAAATTATTCACAAAGCTAAATGTAAAAAAATCCCACTTTTGTCCTGGTATCACTTGAAGTGGCTACCTGTGATCCAACATGTACATCTTCAGTGAAGCATTAGTAGCATGTCAGATCACTGCTGGGGGTAGATCTCAAGAGAACATTGTTACCTTGGGGCAGACTGATGATACTCCAAGTTGGCCATTTCTGCTTGTACCCTGATAGAGGACGTGTTAGTGACCAGCAACACAGTGACCTTAGAAAGCTCATCGAGGTAAAAAAAAATGCCTCTGATGCAGCGATTTTTATAGTGAGCAATGTAAGAATAACCATCTTTGACAAAGTTCCAACTTAGTTTTCAATTTGTGAATTTGTTTTGAATTAACAAAAAGAGCACACTGTAAATATCCATCTGACTGCAGCATCACCTCTTCCACATCTCCTCCTCCACAAAAAGCTCCAAACAAAAGTACACCTCACCAAAAACCTTCAAAACCCAAACCTGATGAGTTACATCTCCTTGCTTCTTCGTACCTTCTTTCCCTGCCTCTGTTGATCTGCAGTCTTGGGGCACGAGTTGTGTTTTAGTGAAGTTGATGCACTACTGAGCACAACATCCACTCTTGCAATAAACTGAACAGGTTAACCCATCGCACAGCACGGGGGGAAAACAGTCTCCCTTTTTGAGACCACAGGTTAGGATGGGGTGTAAAAGTCCACGTGGTCTTTCGAAGTTAAAATCTCCAGCTGATGAACTGGTAAAATGTTTAAGAGAATGGGATTTTTGAGAATTAGAAGGCTGACAACTGCAAAGTGATGGAGGAAATCAATGGGGCTCAAAACTAGTTATTGAAGGGATGGAAAGGGAGTGACCAAGGGAGGTACAAATAAACCTTTAAAATTAAATTTTGAGATGCCTAGTGGAGTGCTTCAAAAATTGGTCTTGATTGACCTTAATTAATTTGTAATGATCTGGGCAGGAAGAGTTGGAGTGTGCTCACCAAGCGTGTTGGGAGACGCTTGAGGGAGGGCTCGGATGAGGAGGAGGATCGGAGCATCTTAGAGGAATTGGATGAGCTAATACAGAGAATAATAGAGGTGAGATTAAATTTAATCTTGCAAAGTGCAAGAGCGTGCACTCTGGTATTAATAAATAAGGATTTTTGCTGTAAGAGTCACTGGGAAAAGAGGAAGAGCAGTGAATTAATTGCAGATAGCTGATCTACAGATGTGGTGAAGTATGAGAAAAAAGATGACTGCCTTTTTAGGATGGATGAGTCAGGCACTTCCAGAATTGAACTAGTAGTATGCGTACGTGTAATATGAAGATTTAGTGCTGGACTTCAAAGTAGCAAGCTAATCAACCACCTCCCTACTGCCCTAAGTAGAAACCCCTTTCTGAATATTTATTTTAGGGAGGTTTTTTTTGAATGGTTCAGCTATCAAAGATTTTCTCTGCTTTTGCTCTACGCGTTCAGCCTTTCAAAGACCAGGGCTTAAGCAACAGAAAACATCCTTAGATGGGTTCAATGAGAATTGACTGGTCACACGGTGCCACTGCTCCTTGGTTTCAGATGTCAATTCTGGTAACTGCTGAATAGACATTAAATATTTTCACCCATCCGTGATGTTTTGAAAAGGTCCCAGGGGAAGGAACGCCTTCAACTGGTGAAAAAGTAAA